TTTTTTTTTTTTTTAACGTTTATTTTTGAGACAGAGAGAGACAGAGCATGAACGGGGGAGGGTCAGAGAGAGAGGGAGACACAGAATCCGAAACAGGCTCCAGGCTCTGAGCCATCAGCACAGAGCCCGACGCGGGGCTTGAACTCACGAACCGTGAGATCATGACCCAAGCCGAAGTCGGACGCTCAACTGACTGAGCCACCCAGGTGCCCCTTGGCTGAGCGACTCTTAATGCTAACCCCCATTATGTTACATTAATGAAGACTGTTTCTGTGTTCTCCCTTCAGAGAGGGCACCATCAAACCTGGCGACAGGTTGCTCAGTGTGGATGGAATTCGGCTTCTTGGAACCACGCATGCCGAAGCCATGAGTATTCTTAAACAGTGTGGACAAGAAGCAACGCTGCTGATAGAATATGACGTCTCAGTGATGGGTATGTCGGAGTCCTGAGGTTGTGCTCACTAAGCTCTGGGTCAGGTCATTGTCCGTCCCTGATAAACCACTCTGGGTTAAGAATGAACTGTGCTGTCCTCCTGCGGCAGACAGAATTTCATCAATACTCCATCATTACTCTGTTGGGTTCAGGAAGAGGTGAGTGGTGCTTTTCAGCGATTTAGAGTTCTTGTGTCAATAGCTTCTATAATAAGGTCTCATTCCATCAGAACGTTTCACCTGGCAGTCAGTTCTATGTGGATTATACTTTGGCAGCAAAGTATTTTCCCCTCCAAATCGCAAGAATAGTATTATTAACTAAAGGGCTGGTACTTTTTCTTTTACTATACGGAGACTGAGAAAAATAGGAGATTTCTTTCCTTCTTGTAACTTCACAGCATGAGGCCAGCGAATCAGAATTAATGGAAATGACCAATCATTGTATCCTAAGATTTAGGAATAAAGAGAGGAAGGGGACCATATAGTATCAGTGGTTAAAATGAGAAGTTGAGTACAGTATCCTTTTTTTTTTCTTTTAATGTAGTTGACCCACGATGTTACATTTGTTTCAGGTGTACAACGTAGTGATTCGACAAGTGTGTGTGTTTTGCCATGTTCACCACAAGTATAGCTACCATCTGTCACCATGCAACACCATTACAGTACCTTTGACTGTATTCCCTTTGCTGTACCTTTCATTTCCATGATTTACTCATTCCATAACGGGAAACCTGTGTCTCCCACTCCCTTTCACCCATTTTGCCTGTTCCCCCACGCTTTTCCCCTCTGGCAGCCATCAGTTTGTTCCCTGTGTTTAAAGGTCTGAGTCTGCTTTTTGTTTGTTTATTCACTTATTTGGATTTTTTCCAGTTCCGCATATGAGTGAAACCGTACGGTGTTCGTCTTTCTCAGTCTGATTTATTTCACTTAGCATAATACCCTCTAGGTCCATCCATTTTGTCTAAAATGGCACTATCTTGTCCTTTTCTATGGCTGCATAATATGTGTATAAATCACATCTTCCTTATCTATTCATCTATCAGTGGACACTTGGGTTGCTTCTATATCTTACCTATTATAAATAATGCTGCGATAAACATAAGGTGCATATATCTTTTTGAGTCAGTGTTCTGGTTTTCTTTGGGTAAATACCCAGTGGTGGAATTATTGGACCATATGGTATTTGCTATTTTTAATTTTTTGAAGAAACTCCGTACTGAAGCACCAATTCACATTCCTACCAACAGTGCACGAGGGTTCCTTTTCTTCCACATCCTCACCAACACTTGTTATTTTTTGTCTTTTTTTTTTTTTAATGTTTATTTATTTTTGAGAGACACAGAGACAGAATGCAAATGTATTAGGGGCAGAGAGAGGGAGACACAGAATCCGTACAGGCTCCAGGCTTTGAGCTGTCAGCATAAACCTAGGGCCTCGAACTCACAAGTGAGATCCTTGACCTGAGAGCCAAGTCGGACGGCTCAACCATTGGCTAGGAACCCCATTTCTTGTCTTTTTTTTTTTTTTTTAGCCATTCTGGAAGGTATAAGGTGATACCTCATTGTGGTTTTGATTTGCATTTCCTTGGTGTTTAGTGGTGTCCAGAATCTTTTCATGTCTCTTGTTTGCCATTTGAATATCTTCTGTAGGAAAATGTCTATTTAATTCTTCTGCCCATTTTTAATTGGATTATTTGTTTTTTTGGTGTTGAGTTATAGAAGTTCTTCCTTTATATATTTGGGATATTAAACCTTTAACAGGGGCGCCTGGGTGGTGCAGTCGGTTAAGCGTCCGACTTCAACCAGGTCACGATCTCACGGTCCGTGAGTTCGAGCCCCGCGTCGGGCTCTGGGCTGATGGCTCAGAGCCTGGAGCCTGTTTCTGATTCTGTGTCTCCCTCTCTCTCTGCCCCCTCGCCCGTTCATGCTCTGTCTCTCTCTGTCCCAAAAATGGATAAACGTTGAAAAAAAAAAAAAAATTTAAACCTTTAACAGACATATCATCTGCAAATCCTCTTACATTTAATAGGTAACCTTTTTGTTTTGTTGATGGTTTCTTTTGCTGTGCAAATGCTTTTTATTTTGACATAGTCCCAATAGTTTATTTTTGCTTTGTTTCCCTTGCCTTAGGAGACATATCTAGCAAAATGTGGTGTAGTATTCTTTCTTTCAATAATGATGACAATAGAAATTAATTCTATTAATTTACCCTTACAGCTGTGGTAAAACTTGGAAGGTATCCTCATCTGGCTTTTAAATGTTAAGAGAGAGCCCAGTTTTGTGTAATGTTGATGGAAGGCAGAAAAATTATGAAATAATGAATTGGAACTTGAAATTGAAACTAAATCACGTTATATACACTTCTTAACAATTGTCAGACATGATTATTTGACCTGATTTTACCAGTAAGTTTCGTGCTGGTGAAATGTAGCAGAGAAAAGAGGCTTACTCTATTAACTGCAAACTCCTTTCTCCTTTATTTCCCACCCTGTGTGATTCATGTAGAACAGTGTTGCTTAAAAATATTAATATGTCTGTTGGCCTGAAATGTTTTAAAAGGTATGAGGTTTCTAAAAAAATTTTAAGTATGAGATTTAAGGAGTTCTTAGCAGAATAAGCAGTACGGTATGCTCTTGACATGGAAGGTTCGAAAATGAATGAACTTCCCACCCTCCTCTACCCTTCTCTTGTATTCTCTCCCACCCTCTTTCCTTTTTCTTTCCCTTTGGTTATATAGGTTTTAAGTTAGATTTGGAGTTAGGTGGTTTGGGTTCTGTTCTCACTGTACTGATTTCTAGCTATTAAGCTGGACCATGTTTCTTATTTCCCTGTGCCTTAGTTAGCTCATTTGTCAAATGGGGACTTGCTTACCGTTTCTCAACTTTTTCTCTCTCACTCTGTTCCTCACTGTCTGTCTTCCATTCTTCCTCCTTTCCCTTCTAGCCACCCAATTCTTCTTTGATATTCTGCTCTCCATTTCTCACTATGAGTACTATTCTATTCTAACTGTCCTACTCAGCTTTTTTTCTAGTATTCCCTATAGCCATCCTCCTTTTTCTCTGTTTGTGTTTCTTGCTTTTTTCCATTCCTGTTTTCCTAATTTGGGTTAAGATAGGATTAGGTATCCATAAGCTCAAATAATTTTTTTTTTATTTTTTTAACGTTTATTTATTTTTGAGAGAGACAGAGACAGAGACAGAGTGTGAATGGGGGAGGAACAGAGAGAGAGGGAGACACAGAATCCAAAGCAGGCTCCAGGCTCTGAGCTGTCAGCACAGAGCCCGACGTGGGGCTTAAATTCACGAATCGTGAGATCATGACCTGAGCTGAAGTCGGACACCCAACCGACAGAGCCACCCAGGCACCCCATATAAGCTCAAATAATTGAGAATGACAATTGGAGGAAAGAGAAGTACAAATGGTGTCCTAGAATATGAGATACTTTCAATTAGAATTGTTCATCAAATATGAACTGATACTTCCTATAGCAAAAAACACATTTTCCTTTTTTCTTGTAATACTTTTTCTTTTGCAACTTTTAGAGCTCTTCTTTCTCAACAGGAATAAAATGAGCTCTTATGCAACACAGCCTGGGAAAATGATGAGCAATAATAGCTCAACCGTATACAAGGACAGCATCAAGTACAAATAGCAGAAACCCAATGTAGACTAGCTTCAAGAGGGAATATGTTAGCCTACAAAAGCTTGGAGTCCAAGGTGTAGCCTGGCTTCAAACATAAGTTCAGTAATGTCATAGGCATTCTGTCTCTCCGATCTCCTTGCCTAGGAAAGCCGCTCCTTATGTTATGACAAGATGGCCCCAGCAGCCACACGCCTACATCATCTTGAGAGTTTATGATACCAGAGAAAGAAATGAGAATGGATCTCCTGTAAAAGATTCTCAGTGACTTAGCTTGGAGCAAATGCTGACCATTACCCTAATCACTGTGTCCGGGGATATAATGCACTCTTTGCTCCTTTGGTAGGAGAGGCAGAGTGTATGTTGAACAGCCCCAGCAGAATGAAACAGAGAAATGGCACTTCCCCAAAGTGGATGGTGTTGAGTTGATGAAAGTAATAGATGCCCTTTTGAGAACATATTTTGATGTTAAATATTACATTCCCACTCACAGGAGTTATATTCCCTCTAATCTGAGAGTTTTCCTTGCTTCACATCCTCACCAGCACTTGGTATTCCCAGTCTGGTTCATGCCAACTATTCTGATGGATGTTAAGTGATATCCCATCTTAAGCTTAATGTATATTGTCTCCATGAATAACCACATGGGACACCTTTTCATTTCCCAGCAGGACATAACTTGTTGCATTGACTTTACACTTAAGACTTTTATTTATTTATATACTATTGAAACTGTGACACATTATATCTTAGAAGTATGTATACATCTGTAATCATAGATATAAATATTGATTTTAATTACTTATATACCCTTAAAAGTACACAAATTATTTCTTAGGAAGTATGTGTGTGTGTGTGTGTGTGTGTGTGTGTGTGTGTGTGTGCATGTGTACACATCCAACCATAAATCTCAACCCTGGAATCAGATGTATTTTTCAGTAAATCTCAAAATATAAATGTCAGCAAAGTCAGTAGTCTATTTAGGAAAGCTGTTGACACTATAGATTTTATTAATTAAAGTTGAATTTAATCTATGTTAAAATTTTAAGGAAAATGTATTGAGATAAGGAAGACTGTAAGAGGAATAGACTTAGGGGAAAATTAAGAGCTCGGTTTGGGATATGTTATGTTTGAGATGTCTCTCTACCATTCAAGTGACATGTGACATACCCAACTGCGTACAGTTGGGTATTTAAGCCTGGATTTCACTGCAGAAGTGAGGGCAGGTGATGTGAATTTTTAACTCAACAGCACAAAGATGGATCATAAAACCATGAGGCACCTGAGGGGGGTAAGACAGAGGACTGAGCTCTGGGGCTCTCCAAAAGTGACAAGTCACAAGTCAGGAAGGTGAAGAGGAAC